GCAGCCTCAGCACACAGAAGGGACGCTGGGGGGCAGGCGCCTTCATTAGTAGCCAGCCCCCTGGAATGCCAGGAGACTCAGAGCTGGGCCAGCCCTGGACTCTCTTCCTGCTCTTGGAGATAGACGGTCATTGAAATGAATGTGAGCAAGGTACTCAAATGTCCAAAGGTGTGGAATCTAGTGGTCAAGTGCAATTGTGGAACCAGATGAACACATTAAAGCAGTGGCCCCGTGCACTGAGGGGCAAGAAGAGCCCTGGCACAGCCCCAACATAAGAGGTGTCTACTTTTATACTGCACCCTGTGGGCCTCTGGGCACTTCATAATTACAGTATTCAAAAATTAGCCTTTCTGTCATAATTTCAGGTGAGTGCAATTTACAAGCAATGTACCTTCCTCTTTAGGGGGCTAATGTTACTTGCCAGGGACCTCACAATATGGCAGAGAAGGTGGCAAAGCAATGATAGCGGTTCCCATCAACAAGAGGAAAGCAAGACGCGGATTCCTGCACTTGTTGCAATGGAAAGACTCAAGCTCCTAGAAAAGTTTGAAAGCTTTCAAGATTTCCTCTGCCAGTGCTCCACACAGAAATGTCCTGGGTTCCAAACAGCCCTCTGCTGGTCCCTGCAAACTGGGAGATGTACAAGGTAGCTCTTCTTCAAGGACACAGACAAAAATCGGCAGAAAGTAGGCTCTAGGTACAACTCAGACAAAGCTTCTGAACCACCAAAACCTCACCTTAGGCTTTGGAACAATTTTGCTCATCTGCACTTTAAATCTAATTTGCCTTAAGAGGATGGGAAGTATTTTCAAAATCCTTCATTCACAATACCCCGAACACCTGGGCCTTCAAGCTCAGCTGTAAAATTTGAAAGACAAAGGCCCACTTTGCTTCACAACTACAATAGCAACCCCAGTGGGTGTTTATTTTCTAGTGTAATCAGAAGCCAAGGTTAGATTTAAGCACCCAATTTGGTAGCGCAAACACATAAGGTGATGTAACACAGAGAGACTCAATCAGCGAACTCCTCCTAATGTATCTCTGCACCCCATAACCACATCTGCTGTCCTCCTGTGACCTATCTTGCACGTGGATGCCTTGTCATCTCCCCTCCAGACCGTTCCTCCCAGTGGGCCTCCCTTCCCGAACCATTACAACCCCACTGAGGCCTCACTCAGCTCCCAGAACCTGCAACAAATTCATGCATCAAAACAAGACTTGACGTTTCTTAAGCTAAGCCTAAGAGCAACTCCTACTTTAGGTGCAACTGTTTGAAAAGGCAAAAACAGCCCCATAAAGCCATGGGTTCCTGATTATCTCAAACCTATGGCCTGAAACTGTTTGAACTAGTTGCCATAAAACTAGTCCATGAGGTTATAAACTAGCTTAAAGCATTTTTCTAGACAAAACGGATTAGTTGTTGTTGTTGTTGTTGTGTGCTGTCCCTGCTCTATGCTGTGCCAACCATATTGTCTCTGTCTGAGACACCTACCCCCATTACCGCAGTCACTGAATCAATCCATCTCATCAAGGGGCTTCCTCCCTCTCCTACACGTCCCTCCACCCTCCCAAGCATGAGGTCCCTCTCCAAGGACTGGTCCCTCCTCGTAACATGTCCAAAGTATGTCAGAAGCAGCTTCAGAATCCTTCCCTCCAAGGAGTAGCCTGGCTTCACCCTCTCTAGGACAAACCTGTTTGTTCTCCTAGCAGTCGATAATATATTCAATACTCTTCTCCAGCACCACAACTCAAAGACAACAATTCTCTTTTTACCATCAATGGATTTAAAAAGTGTAAATGGGGAAACTGCATGACATTATAGTGTATAGGCAGAGACATACTCCCCTCAAGTCTTGCACAATCATATGCAGGAATACAAACTATACAAACATCCTTATGTTAAGTGAGACTAAAACGAATGATTTAAACTGAGAATGAGGGGGATAGCCAATGATTTATTTGATTTTTCTCTAACAGAAAGTAAGTTCAAAATTGGTCTTAAAGGTTCCCCTTTTCTAATGAACACATTCCAACCAGAAGTCAGTGCTTAGAAGCTAATCAGCTAACACCATAGTCAGCAAGGTCAAGTCTAATAAAAGTCCCAAGTATCAGTTCAGTTTTCACCACCAAATGTGTGGAAAAGGATGTATAATCTTAAAAAGAAACATGCATGATCTTAAAAGTATTTATGCCAAGTGAGACAATATTGCCAGGCAACAGAAAGTAAAAAACAACCAGTATGCTCCACAAGAAAAGGATTAATAACACAGTTACAAACTGGAAAAAAACATGGAAAGACTTCTGACAGAGGAAGATACTCTAACAGCCAACAGGTACATGAAGAAATGCTCAAAATCACTGGCAATAAGGGAGATGCAAATCAAAACCACAATGAAATACCATCTTACCCCAACAGCAGTGGCAAAGTTTAACAAGACAGCAAGAAATATATGTTAGAGAGGATGTGGTTGAGGTAGGAACTCAAACATTGCTGGTGAGACTGTAATAATGGTACAACCACACTGGAAGGTAGTTTGGTGTTTCCTCAGAAAGCTCTACATAGAAACTTTGTATGACCCCTCTATTCCAATGCCTGGAATATACCCTGAGAAAATGAAAATGAGGTGTAAATTAAGACTTGTACACCAGTGTTCACTGCAATGTTATTCACCATTGAAAGAACATGGAAACAGTTCAAATGTCCAACCACAATCAAATGGACTGAGAAATTACGGTGCGTTCACACATTAGAATACTCCGCAACACACAGAAGAAATGATTTTGTAAATCACTACCTACCTTGGGAGGGACTAGAGAGCATTATGCTAAGTGAACTCAATCCCATAAGGACAAATACTGTGTAAGACCATTATTGTAGACGTGTATAAGGATCCAAGGGGTAGGGGTGGGGAGCAGAAAGCTAAGGATGGGCAGGGGTTGTTAATCATAGGGTTGCACAATTTTACGGGGGTGGGGAGGGTAAAGGAAATAGGAAAGATCCGGTAGGGGTGGGTAAAGGAAGTGGGAAAGATCCAGTGTGAAACAACATAAGTAAACTTTGTAAGTAAACCAATATAAAAAAAAATTATTTAAATTTTTTTAAAAAAAAACCTGGTATGTTTTGCTCCAAAAAATGCAGGGCAGGGAATGTGGATCTAGTGACCACAGGAAAGTGCAAATAAGAAAGCAATCTGTCCAGTGGAGGGTGTCACAGCTTCTCCAGAATGACCCCAGTATATGCCAGCAGGAATCACTAACAAGTGAGTACTTAAGCTATTAATTCTGCCTATGTGATTTTAGTTTTTTTTAAAGAAACACACTTTTATTTTAAAACTTAATATATAAAAGAAATATCACACCATCCCAGACATCAAGTAAATGCAATACTACCAAATGTGAAGCCAAAATCCTTCCCCAGGCCTTACTACTGCCACCGAGTGTGTTAAAATCCACAGCACCACCACTGGTTTTCAGGGAGTCAGGCAGCCAAATACTGAAGGACAAGCTGTCACAAAGAAGTCTTGGTAGCTTCACTGTCACCATGAGGTGGAATCAACTAGCCAGCATCAGGCTCAGCTTTTGGTATGTAGCATGGCCCTCCTTAAAGATCTGCACTGTTTCCAGAGCACAGGCCGTTCTTCACCTCTGAAAGAAAAAACTTCTCATGATAGCCAGATTCCAAGACCATGTTTTCTGAAATCAAGTCCGGATATAAAACTTGTACCACCAGCTCTGTTTCTTGGTTGCACAGAGAATGCCATGCCTGAGATTACCTGGGTGTCTCTTCTGTGTTCAATTATTCAGTTGAATAGCCAGGCTTGTTCTGGAAGGTACTACAGAGATGCTAATTACTGATAGCTAGCTGGCAGGAGCGGAGCAGATGCTTATAAATAAAAGAGGGTTATTCTACCATGTCTACAGAAGTAGAACGAGGTGCTTCGTTTTGTTTTTTTCTAATCTCTGTAAGAAGTGCTCTAAGTTCTTGCTAAGAAGACCTCAATGTCCATACCGGTCATAAGGAGCTCTAGGTAAGAAGCTGCGCTGCCAAACCAAAGACGACCAGTTCGGATCCAGCAGCTGCTCAGAAGGAGAAGGTAAATCTTTTCCCTTGCGAGATTTACTGCCTCTGAAAACCCGCTGGAGAGTCAGCTAAGAGCAGGTTCCTACTACACGGTTCTCAACAATAACGGGTCATGATCCGAACAGCACAGAACAGAACCTCCGTCAGGAGAAGCAAACTGTTTACATCAACCAGTGCCTAGCACCTTCTCTGGAAGCAGCACAACTTCTTCAAAAGTCACTTGTACCATTTATACAAGTCAAGTTGTCCAGGGTGGGCTTCAACGGGACCCTACTCGACTGGAACACAGTTCCCTAAAATGTCCACCAGGCGGAAAAGGACAAACTCCCACCAACTCTGAGTTCCCAAACTCACGTTGCTCTCCGGCGACAGCTGCCTTGGAACTCCAGAGCCAAGCCACCAGGGTCAAACCCCCCCCCCCCAGCAAACACACACACACTGGCAGTAATAAATAATGTAAATGGCAGGCCGGAGCCAAGAGTCACCTTCATTCATTACCCACTGGAAGACCAAGGATCTCAGACAACGAAGAGTTGGGTTACAAGAACAAAAATACCCACAATAGCTCACAATCCCCAACACACTGCCTCGCTCTTCTCTCTTCTAGGGGTCTCCCACCCCAAACACACTCTTCTCTCACCTCTAATTTCTCTCTACTAGTTTCCAGATCATCCCCCCGCAACACACTCGCACTCTCACCACCCATTCATCCTCACCTCCCAGGCTCCCAGAGCCCCCTCACCTCCGGACCCCCAGAATTACTCTGAACTCCAGACCCCCATGCACGAACCCACCCCCAAGACCCACTCAAACTGTTCCCAACCCCACGGACTGAGCTCACACGCGGAGCTTAGCCTGCACCCCTCCGAGGGAAGGAGGCCCCCGCTGTCGGGAGGCGTACGGGGCGCAGGGCACTCACAAGCTCCGCGTCCAGGTGGGCAGGTCCCCGGGCAGCGCGATCAGCCCGCGCCCTCCGCAGTCCAGCGAGTCCCCCGCGCAAATGCAGGCGGCGGCGCAGGGCGCACGGGTCCCGGCCACGGCCGTCTCCAGCCAAAGCAGCAGCAGCGACAGCAGCAGGAGGCCGGGCGAGCAGCGCAGGGCTCCGTGCGCTCCCCGCGCCGGCCGCGCCATCTTGTTGGGAGCGCGGAGCGAGCTCCGGGCGCGGGGCTGCGAGGTCCCGGGCGGTCACAGGCACGCGTGGCCCCGCAAGGGCTCCGCTCGCCACTAGGCTCCGCGCCGCGGCATGGCCGCTGGCACAAGTTCTTCCCGCGGCGGCGGCTCCGGCGCTCAGCTGGCCCCCGGAGCGCGGGCCGTTCCGCAGCGCCCTGCGGGGGCCGCAAACTCCGGGCCCATCCGGGCCCAACGGCCCGCGCTGGTTAAGAACTCCTCAGACTGGGCGAGGGTGGAGAGACTGGCGCGCTTCGTCCGCCTGCGGCGTTCCCGGCCGGCTCCTCTGGCTCCCGAACACGCCAAGTGCCGCCGCCGCTGGCAGTCAGGCGGTCAACCTCTCAGCCTGAGCCCGGCGCCCGTAGGCATCTCCTCTCGGCTCGATGTGCAAAGCTTCAAGCTAGTGGCCGGACTCCGCGGTGACCCTCTCGGCTCGGCACGTCCCATGCGCCTCGCTGTCTCAGCTCAGAGGGCAGAGAGCGCGCGCGCAGCCCCGGTCCGAACCACTCCGCTGCGCAGCGCAGGACCGCCGACCTCGCGGCCGGAACAATCAACCGCTGGCTGCGAGCGTCCCGCTGCCCAGCCCCGGCCTGTCCCCAGGCTCCGCCCCCGGCCGCTCAGTACACACACCCTCTCCACTCCGCGCTCCACCGCCGCCCGGCAGCCCACGTTGGATACTTTGCAACAGGCCCTCGCCACGCCCTAGCGTGCTGTTCATTGGCTGCCGGAGTTCACGACTGCCAGCCTCGAAAACCATTGGGCTGCTCACACTAATCCCGCCCCTCCTGCCTCCTATGTCCCCCGCCCCCATTCCATTTTCCCACTCAAGGTGTGAAAGGCGGGGGACTGGGAGGAGAAGGAGGGAGGGGGAACCTCCGCCTCTTAAAGGGAACTTGTATGGGTACGTAGGCTGGGAAGATGTCTTAAGGTTATACCCCTTGAGTCGATAGTATAAAGTTTAAAAGCGAACCACCCTGCTTTTTGTCCCTTTCTCAATTTGCAAACAAATTAGGGGTTAGGACAAACTTGCACCCACTTTTCAGGTGTCCCTTAGAAGCAAAACTACCAAGGCTTGGATTTTTAAATTTCCACATTTCCTCTTGTATTGGGGCATCCTTAGCTATGTCATGCGGTATGGCACCGCCCCCTCC